TTGCAATATTGAAGGATTCTACAGGGAAAATATCAAATGATGAAGGAAGCATCACAAGAAGATGGAAGAAGTGCACAGAGTCACTATACCGAAAAGAATTGGTTGATGCTCAGCCATTTTAGGAAGTAGCTTATGATCAGGAACCCATGGGCCTGAAGAGAGAGGTCCAAGCTGCACTGAAGGCATTGGCAAAAAGCAGGTTTCCAGGAATTGACTGAATACTAGTTGAGATGTTTCAACAGAAGGATGCAGCACTGGAAGCACTGACTCTTCTGTATGAAGAAATTTGGAAGACAGCTACCTGGCCAACTGAATGGAAGAGATCCATATTTATGCCTATTCCCAAGAAAGGTGATCCAACTGAATGTGGAAATTATTGAACAGTATCATAATATCACACGAAAGTAAAATTTTGCTGAAGATCATTCAAAAGTGGCTGCAGCAGTACATCAACAGGGAACTGCCAGGAATTCAAACCAGATTCAGAAAAGAATGTGGAACCAAGGATATCATTGCTGATGTCAGATGGATCCTGGCTGAAAGCAGATAATACCAGAAATATGTTTACCTGTGTTTTATTGATTATACAAAGGTACTCGACTGTGTGGATCATAACAAATTATGGATAACATTGTGAAGAATAGGAATTCCAGAACACTTAATTGTGCTCATGGTAGGAACCTATACATAGATCAAGAGGTAGTCGAACAGAACAAGGGGATACTTCGTGGTTTAAAGTCAAGGGTGTGCATCAGGGTTGTATCCTTTCACCATTCCTATTCAGTCTGTATGCTGATGAAATAATCTGAGAAGGTGGACTACGTGAAGAAGAAAGGGGCAGCAGGATTGGAGGAAGATTCATTAACAACTTGCAGTATGCAGATAACACAACCTTGCTTGTGAAAGTGAAGACCGTTGAAGCACTTGCTGATAAAGTTCAAAGACCAAAGCCTTCAGTACGGATTATACCTCAACATAAAGAAAACAAAAATCCATTAATAATTGGAATGTGGGATGTATGAAGTATGAATCTAGGAAAATTGGAAATCATCAAAAATGAAATGGAAGACATAAACATCAATATCCTAGGCATTAGTGAGCTGAAATGGACTGGTATTGGCCATTTTGAATTGGGCAATCGTATGGTCTGCTATGCCGGGAATGACAACTTGAAGAGGAATGACGTTGCATTCGTCATCAAAAAGGAGATTTCAAGATCCATCCTGAAGTACAACGCTGTCACTGATAGGATAATATCCATATGCCTACAGGGAAGACCAGTTAATATGACTATTATTCAAATTTACCCACCAGCCACTAAGGTCAAAGATGAAGAAATTGAAGATTTTTACCAACTTCTGCAGTCTGAAATTGATCAAACATGCAATCAGGATGCATTGATAATTACCGGTGATTGGAATGCAAAAGTTGGAAACAAAGAAGAAGGATCAGTAGTTGGAAAATATGACCTTGGTGATAGAAACAATGCCAGAGATCGCATGATGGAGTTTTGCAAGACCAACGATTTCTTCATTGCAAATACCCTGAGTGTACACGTGGACCTCACTAGATGGAATACACAGGATTCAAATTGATTACATCTGTGGAAAGAGATTATGGAAAAGCTCAATATCATCAGTCAGAACAAGGCCAGGGGCCGAGTACAAAACAGACTATCAACTGCTCATAATGCAAGTTGAAATTGAAGCTGAACAAAATTAGAATAAGTCCACGGGAGCCAAAGTATGACCTTGAGTATATTCCACCTGAATTTAGAGACCATCTCAAAAATAGATTTGATGCGTTGAACACTAATGACCAGAGACCAGACAAATTGTGGAATGACATCAAGGACATCATACATGAAGAAAGCAAGAGTCATTTAAAAGACAGGAAAGAAAGAAAAGACGAAAATGAATGTCAGAAGAGACTCTGAAACTTGCTGTTCATCATCAAGTAGCTAAAGTAAATGGAAGAAATGATGAAGTTAAAGAGCTAGACAGAAGATTTCTAAGGGTGGCTCAAGAAGACAAAGTACAGTGTTATGCTGACATGTGCAAAGACCTGGAGTTAGAATATCAAAAGAGAAGAACACATTCAAGCTAAAAGAACTGAAGAAAAAATTCAAGCCTCAAATTGCAATATTGAAGGATTCTATGGGCAAAATACTCAGCGACACAGGAAGCACCAAAAGAAGATAGAAGGAATACACAGAATCACTGTACCAAAAAGAATTGATCGACCTTCAGTCATTTCAGGAAGCAGCATGTGATCAGGAACCAATCATTCTGAAGGAAGAAGTCCAAACTGCACCAAAGACATTGGAGAAAAACAAGACTCCAGGAACTGACAGAATACCAATTGAGATGTTTCAAAAAACATATGCAGCATTGAAATTGCTTACTCGTCTATGCTAAGAAATTTGGAAGACAGTGACCTGGCCAACCGACTATTATGGCTATTCCAAAGAGAGATGATCCAACCAAATGAGAAAATTATCAAACAATATCATTAATATCACAGGCAAGTAAAATTTTGCTAAAGATCTTTCAAAAGCAGTTGCAGCAGTATATTGACAGGGAACTGCCAGAAATTCAAGCTGTATTCAAAAGAGGACATGTGTCTTAGTCATCTAGTGCTGCTATAACAGAAGTACCACAAGTGGATGGTTTTAACGAAGAGAAATTTATTTCCTCACAGTCAAAGTAGGCTAAAAGTCCAAATTCAGGGCATCAGCTCCAGGGAAGGCTTTTTCTCTCTGTCAGCCTTCTTCTCTTTGGTGTTCCCCCAGACTAGGAGCTTCTGTGCACAGGGACCCCGGTCCAAAGGATGCGCTCTGCTCCCAGCACTGCTTTCTTGATGGTATGAGGTCCCCAACTCTCTGCTTGCTTCCCTT